AAAAAAGGAAGGAGGAGGAAAGAACCGTCCAGTCTGAGCACGGAGTCAAACTCACCACTCCCAGAGGCTCCGGTGCCGAGAATCTTGGTGCCCTTCCACAATTTAGGAGTTCCAGTTCCTGAGATGCCTCGAGGGGCTAACGCGGGGACCATATAGAGGTTTCGTTCGGCAGGCGTCGGGGCTACGATGGCTTGCGGTATGATAGCACCGGGTGCTGGAGGAACAGCAATCGGTGCAGCTTGTCGAATATTCGGAGGCGGCGCCGCGAAAGGATCCCTTAGGTATTCATCCTAGTAGACACCAGATTCAGAAGCTGTGTATTGATCCCACACGTGGCTGAGATGAGGGTAGCAATGCTTACTCTGACCGTGGCATTGCTCTTGTCTGGGGCATTTGGATCGTTGTATTTGTCCCAGAATCTCCATTCGCGGTAGAATTCGGGGGTGTAGTTCATCGCCATCTTCAGACTTTACTACCACACACTTGCTGCGTGCGAGATTGATTGCTTTGTTATTGATCGACTTGATCGATTCGACAGGTGACCGTGTAGAGAATCAAAGAAATCGCATGTTGGAGGCTGCGTGGAAAAGAACAGTGTTATCCTTTGTGAGCCGGGCTTCTTTGTCGCACTTTTCCGGCCGGACCGGATGCGGAAGTCAGAGCAGAAACGGCTGGGGAAGCTATACAGAGAAAAAGGGTGGGAGATAAGCCAATCGGGGTATGTTGCGATACGAATCCAAACCTCGGGTTTCTGGGGAATACTAACTAAACCTGAGTAGGTAAACAAACAACCCTCGCTTAAACACCGTGGAAGCGAGTTGCAAGGCGAAGGCGGCAGTTACGTGCCGTATAAATAAACCACCCGTTCCAGTCAGCGTAGAACTGGGCGTTGTAAGCATTTGCCATGGTTACCAGATCTCTGGGAGGTAGGCCAGAGAGAGGTAAACCAGTGGGAGAGAGAGAGAGAGAGAGAGAGAGAGAGAGAGAGAGAGAAGAAGAGAGAGAGAGAG